CCCCCTCCTGCCTCGGATAAGTTTGGCATTTTCTGTCATTCTTGAAAATCTCGGGGCTATTACTGTCATTTGAACCAAACATTCAGATTTAAGAATTAAGACTGCTCTTGAGACAGTTTCTTTCATGAGCAATTAGTACTCTTAAATATTGAACGAAATTTAAATTGATGCTTTGAGACCTTGATAAAGCATGCTAATATTCTAAAGAAAAGAAGCTATTTCGACTCGTCCATGACCGAACCGACGAGGGATCGTTCAGACCAACCATCAGTGAAGGTACTACTACAATTAGACGCCACTGTACATGACTTTCGTGGACAAACGAGTCAGAGAACATCGATCGAGTGTGGTTAGAGACGTTAGAAAGTAACAAGTAGCAGAAATGCACAACTACAAACGCAAAGATCTTCGGTTAAAATTTTTCTTGCTTCCTCTGATCGCATATCAAGATTCCTTCATCTGTACATAAAAAGGAAATTAGATCCAAATCCCGGAGGGCGAAAGATGAAACAACAAAGGTCAAAAGCTGTAAAAAAGACGGTGCCGGAATCTTCGACGACAATGAGACCTTTCCCGGCGGTAACACGTTAAAATCTCTCCACAGACCAAATTAAAGCCGTCAGATCAGAAGAGAGGGGGTGGGAGGTTGAGATCGAAGGACAAAGGCTTCTTCTCCTCTTTTATTGCCTTCTTTTCCTGTTCGCTCCTCATCAACACCTCCACAGCCTCAAACTTATAACCGGGAAATTCCGAAACCGACGGCATCCCCGCCGGACCTCCGGCCTGATGAAACACATTCCGTTCACCGGAGGCGACATAGGCACTCCGCCACTGCTGAAGATGCTTCTGGAACGTAGTGGAAGAAGCAGCAGAGGTGGCGACACCTCCGCAGCCAAAGTTAGTCTTAGCCTTCGGCCCTCGGAGATTCCTGGCGGCCTCGTCATAAGCTCTGGCCGCCTCCTCCGCGGTGTCGAAGGTTCCCAGCCATTTCCTAGTCTTCTTCCACGGATCGCGTATCTCCGCAGCGAACCTTCCCCACGGACGCTTACGCACGCCTCTGAAATGAGTCTCCTTAACCGGCACAACTGCCACGGGCTCCTTCTGAACGCCGGCGATGCCCTCCTTACGCAGGTGCAGAGTATCCACCGCCATTCTCCGCCTAAGAAAACGAGGTTTGCCTGAAAAGGAAAAACTACACCCTCGAAGAAGTTCAGAGATAGCGAGAGGGAAAAGAGTAAAAGAGAAGGGAGAGAGCGGGATGGAGGGTGTGGAAAAGGAGGCAAGTAGGGGATATTTATAGCGGGTTAGATGGTCTTTGTTAAGGCCGACAGGGATTTCTTGTTATTTTGGGTTTTATAAATTTTTTTGAATTTTTATTTTTTAACCGTCGCATGGCAATAAGGGAATGCGTGCATGCATAGGGGCTGCAATAAATCAGGGATGGATTTCGCATGCGGCTTGACGCTTGAGCATCTACATCCCCGTTTTCTCGTGGATTTCTCGGGGCGAACCGGCGATCCCGGTCTTGATTTTTCTTCTCTTTTTTTATTTGTTCAAGGGTAGTGTTTGGATGGAATGACATCATAACCCCTGCGGCTGCGGGCACGAGATATCTGAGACTGAGGGATGGGCTCGTCTCGTGGCGGTCCCCGAGTCCCACATAGGAGACCTCTGGGTCCTTGAGGTGGCCGTGATTACTGGTTTGCTTCCTTCAAGGAATGCTAACCTAGTTCCATCTATGTCCTATCACCTATGTTATTAACTCCTACCAAAAGCTATATTAGGCCCAATTTCCCTAGGGTGACGACAAACGGTTTTCTCCTTAATTTTGTGAGATTGATATAAATTATGTTATGGGTACTTTCATAACCTAGAATTTTTTTTCAATTTAAATGCTTTTTTTACAACGATTTATCACAATATACTTCACTGTTTCAACCATGTTGTTTCTACATACTCTTTCTTTTGGTGTCAATTTTTTTTTCTTTTCAAAACTAATTTAAAATGTGAAATAATCTATTCTCTTTTGGCTGTGTCACAAGTTGATGTGTTTTAGATCATGTTATATCCATTTTACTTGATCCATATTAAAATGGGTGGGTTTGGGTGAGATACAAGTGGGTGAATCGGCTGGGTTTGGGTGGATTATAAGTGGGGTGAGTGGGTTTGAGTGTGTCAAGTGAATTGGGTCAGAAGTTGCCACCCTACATCTAACTATAAAATAGAAAGAGGTAATCATGATACATGAGAATTAAAAATGGTCTTACTTGCTTGAGGAAAGAACAGAAAGGAACCACCACTACAATTATTTTACTAAAGCTGTGTGTTGGTGCAATGTAAATAAATTTGCACTGATGTGAAATTATAGTAGTGCAAATGATTCGAGTATAAATTCTGACCTATTTTTGTCTCGAATGTTAACTTATTTTGTTTGATTGCAATACAAATGAAGAAGAATAAAGCAAAACTCAAAACAAAATTAAATAAGTATTTGCATTTTTTTCATTTACACTCCCATACATTTGCACTAATGTAAATAAAATTGCACTACAACCAAATGCAGCTTAAGACTCAATTTGTCTGCAATGTAAACTTCAATTGCACTCGTGTAAATGCATGGAAGTGTAAATAGATATTCTGATTCACTATTTTTGCTTTAGTTTTGGTTTTGTCATATTTGTTTTTGAGAAGTAAAACAGGAAGTAGAATGGTGTAGTCCCCACCATTTGGAAAAGAATAACAAAAGTAGGAAGCAAAATGATGTAGTCCTCATTTTATACAAGAGAGAATTGGGTTAAAAGGAAAGTGATGCAAGTTTTTCATCAATTTTTGGAATACAAGATTTGTACTACCAATGGATGCAAATGAAACAATAAATACAGATTTTGAATTAGGCAGAGTGCAAATCATGATTTCGAAGATGCAAAACTGAATTAAGTGTAATATTTATATCTGATTCAAACTTGCACTACAAACAAATTAATAGAACCTAAGCCTTTTTTTAAACTGTTGTCATGCAAATCTCATTTATATTGGTGTAAATGCATAGGTCTGCAAAATGGGTTGAACCTAAATTCACGTTTACTTTTGCTTCAAGTTTTACTTTGTTTTATTTGCCTATGATGTGTAAAACGGGAAGTAAAATGATAAATGTCCTCTCCATGTGAAAGAGAATAAAGATAGGAAGAAGGTTGTTCATTTGAGAATATTGAAACCGTAAGTCAGATCTCAGATAATGTGGTCCCCAGACTCCCCACTCTATAAGAGAGAATTAGGGTAAAAGGAAAGTGGTGAAAACTTAATTTGCATTGATTTTCGTGATGAAAAAATTGCTTTATCAATGAATACAAATGAGACAAGAAAAAAAAGTCCAATTTTTCATTAATTAGGAATGCAATTCATAATTACAAATATACAGATGTACATCTGAAATCCTGAATAAGGTATAAAATTTGTAGTCAATTTGGATTCATGCTGCAAACAAACAGAACTAAGAACCAAAGATAGATGAAAACCAATACGTGAACAGAAACGATTTTTTTTTTTTTTTGTTAGATTTAAGGATGTCAGTGGTTAGGTTAAAGTGATAAACCCACACAGCCACACTAACACAATTCTATTGTATTTAGGGTTATATCAGCCTTAATTGGATTTACAGCTGAACCTGGCTATAATATTTTTGGCTTAGTGTAGGTGTTCTGTACATGGGACGGGTTGGGTTGGGTTCGATGCCCCACAGACCTGATGACATCCTTAGTTAGATGGTTAAATGGACTAAATGGTTCAAACGTCCGGTCTGATTTAGTTTCAAAAGATTTCACATATCCGTGAACATGTTTACATGTTTATTGTCAATTCATGCACGCTTATTCAAATTGTCCGAAGGAAGATGGGTGCACCATTTAATTTTCTTTCATAAGTTTGGCATTTCTCATTACGTTATACGATAGTCTAAAGCTCAATAATATCTCTTGCGGTGAAAAGCTATCATCTGTTTCTCATCTCATAAGTCCATACGAAAATGATTTTGAATTCGCCACGTGGTAAGTTGGGCCACACGCCACTAGAGCTGACTGCTCTGGACCACCACTACCTATAATACTCCAAACCGTTCACTAGCAACTTGGTAGGCCATAGGCCCTACAACGTCCCGTTTCATAAACTGTTCCGTTCAACCATGCTGCTGAAGATGGCACCAATTTCGAGGTCGATGGTCCACATTGACTCCCCTATTCGCACTCTAGCTGAATAATGAGGTTGCCGTAGCTTCAATACGTCCCCTAGTGGAAGTGTTGAACAACGTAATCCTAGGGCTATTATTGTAATTTTACGAATCCCCGATACACTCTCTTCTGTTGCACAACCAATACAAAATCTCGCGATAAATAAAAGCCGCGAGATAATCTTGCATCTGGTCGGTGGACCCGGAGGATCACAGTAAAACGAAAAACTTTTTTTACTGCGAGTCTTCGACACGTTTTAGCTCTTTGTACTTTTAATTAATTAATAATAAAATAATATAAATTCCAATTTAGAAAACTGATCTTTACATAATAAATGCCGGCTTGTCCGCCTCTTCAATTGTTTATTATTTTTGTTCAATTAAAATAATATTTTAGTTAATATCGTCAGATCAAGTTTTATTCTTTAATCTGGATTCGACGGCGCCGGCAGATCACCGCATGGTTCCATGTCATCATGCATGATGATGATGATGATGTTATGGTGCAGATAAGATGGGAATCATGGGATCATGGGAGGATATATTTCCCATTCTTTGTTGAGGGAGGGGTGAGTTAGATGATGATGATGATGATGTTATGGTGCAGATAAGATGGGAATCATGGGATCATGGGAGGATATATTTCCCATTCTTTGTTGAGGGAGGGGTGAGTTAGAGTGAGAGACATCAAACATGTATCCAGTAGTACAAGCAGGGGTCATGCATACAATTCGGCGTTGGAAATGGTGGTCCCTAACTGTCTCCGTTACTGACACCTGTCCGGGCCCCCTTCCTCTGGAGCTGCTGCTGCTGCTGCCTGCAGACTCGTCCTCTCAACCCGGAGGCTGACACCAGCCATACTCCTCCTCGTCTGTACTCTAGACACGTTGAGAAGATAAAGCACAGTTTCTCAATTACTGAAACACCCTCACCTCTACCATTTAAAAGTCGCTGATAGAGCAGTAGGGCCACGGGTTGTTTTGGTAACTTGAGTTTGTTCAACGTTCCAACTTCGTCCTGAAGCGAAATAAGTGTAGAAGAGAAGCGGGAATCACGAGAGGAAAGGAGATAGAAGAGTCGGCTGGGTTCTCGTGGACGATGCGCCGTAATGCGTGGCACGTGACAGAAACAGCTGGCGCAGAGTTCAAGGGCGTAAATGAAGGAACCGGCGCAAGCAAACTCGCTGGGGAGGCTGCCCAACCCACTGAGTTGGCACCCGGGCCAACACGTGCACAGAGCTGGCGGGATTCGAGGACGTGAAATCGCGTGCGTCGGCGGGAAGAGAAAATGCTTTTATGGTCTGGATGTGCTGTTTCACTGTTTGCATACCGGTTTCAATCAGGGCAAATTCATGCCCACACCGTCTAACAGCCTTTTTTCAACCTTATATTCGGAATATCTCCCCATGGAATTAAACATTTAAGTATGGAAATATTCTTAAACCAAGGCAGTAAAGACTGTTCCAAYAAAATTTGCCTGACTGAAACCGAACTCATATAATGATAAATTTTATTAAATTAAAATTACATATTAATACCTTATACTTCCTCACAATCTTTTATAGCTATGCATTGTTACTATTTCTGTATTATATTTTTTTATTCATATAAATATATTCTCAATGTACATTTGTAAGGGGCTTTGAAGACAATATAAGAATGGTTTCGTGATAATGGAAATTGAGATCGTATATGCTATTCATAGGTTGTTCGTACTAAAGGTGTCAACGGTATTTGAAAATTTGAATTTGAATTCAAAATAAGATTTATATAATTAAATCGAATTTGGATAATTCGAATATCTAATCAATCGAATTCGGATATAACCTGATTCGATTCGATAAATATCCGAATTCAACTAACCGGTTACTTTATTCTTATATATAATATATATAATTTTTAAATATTTTATATATATTAATTAAATTATATAAATAAATCTTTATATAATTTATATAGATAAAATATTTATTTTATATATTTATTAATTACCTAAAATAATTAATTAGTTGAATTCGAATGGAATTGAATATTCGAATATTTAATCGGATTCGAA